GTTTGAAGTTTCAGCCACAGGTTTACTTTCGACTGTACTACACTCGAATCATTTGAATACGACAGATGCTGTTCTTAAAGTCCTGGTGTTTTTCCTCGCAAATCTTGTATCTGTTGTTAAAAACACTGCATGCGTAGGGTGCATGTACACCGTTGATAAATTGTCTCTTCATGAAGTATGCAGCCACTTTAAATATTCGTGTTTTTGTTTTGGTTTTCAGGTTGGCTTTGATTTCCTCCTTGGTGGGGTTAGTGCTAAGGGCTAGTAGACGATTAATCGACATTTTCTCAGTCTTTAAAACGTTACAATCGAAGAAAAATGATGAATTTTAGAATGGCGCGGAGCAATTACAAGTTCCCGATTTTGTACAAGTACCCTAAAGGCACCGTCCTGTTGCAAGTGTGGAGCATATGTGATTCTGTCGTCTGGGCGTCCTTTAAGATGTTTAATGACACCCCAGTTAGAGTTTACTGTGAAAACTAAACACACACCAAAATAATTAAAAACATTGTTATATTTGAAGACAAAACATGCTACGTTTTTAAAACATAAACATCGCTAGCGCTAATGCTAAAGTCAATGCTAAATGCTAAAGCCAATTCAAACACTCAGCGGAAATTAGCATCGAATTCGAGTGATATCCCTTCAAATAACGCACAAACGCTGTGAAACACATACAAACAGGTAAGATAACATATTCAAAGTCATAAATTCTTGCCAATCTGCGAAAAACGAGTTAGATTAAGAGTTAAATCGCAACTTCTGTTTTGTGTACTCTTCCCCATATATAGCATCGCACTGCCCCTACGAGATCAAAATGCGTAGGAAGACCCAGTATTTGTATTATTTTTTTTCAATTGCTATTATTTTCCTATATTCCTAATGTACTTTTTACAAATGTATTGTTATAGTGATTTTATTATAGTTTTAGATTCAAGGAATGTTCCTTTCCTAAAGAATCAAGGATACAAAGACACAATGACTTTTTTTGTGTGTGTCGTTACCAACACACACTTCCACATGACATGGCACGAAATACAATCCGTGAGATCCCAGGAATCTTGCTGCTGTAGACTGTAAATTTCCCCAGTGTGGGACAAATAAAGGATATCTGAATCTGAATAAATCCCGAGACTTGTGAAAATAGCTTCAGATTTAAAAAAAAAAAAAAAAAAGAGAGCTAAGCGTAATGAATGATTCAATGTGGACCAAGATGTGCCACATCAAAGGAGTGGATGCAGCAAAATGAAAATGCAAGATGCTTGAATTTCACGTGATATTTACAAGGTCATTTTGTACTTGACAAAAAGAGTATTGTTCAAGAATAAAGTCCTCAAATGAAGGCATGAATGGGCATGAGGCTAGAATATTAGTTTTGAGTAATTCAGTTTTAGCAGGTGGATAAATACTAGGTTTTGAAATCAATAAATAATCTTCATTTCAATCTCAATCAAAAATAATCGTGTTTATTATTTTTTCCAGAACTAGCCAGCCCATGTCAGTGCTAACTGTATCTCTCCTTGTCTGTGTGTTCAGGTATTACAGAGGAACGCACGGCGTCATTGTGGTGTACGACGTCACCAGCGCAGAGTCCTTTGTGAACGTCAAGCGATGGTTACATGAAATCAACCAGAACTGTGATGACGTGTGCCGAATATTAGGTGAGCGTTGGCTTTCAGAAAAAAAAAAGTGCTTTGTGTGTTGACTCAGTGTGGGAACTGCATCCACTCATTGGACATAATTTCAAGTAATTAACATACAATGGCCAATGTAGGGACTGTCATCAGAATTCTGTATCCATTTTAAATACCGTAACTAATTATTAAATATGACAGATCCCACACCTGACGAGGAAATAAATCTGCATACTTCTTTTATCGTGCAAGGCTCAAAATAAGCGGTTTCACAGTCCAAATGTGCATTTTACTCCTCAAACTTCAATGTGCGTTGTTAACATTGAAACGTAAAAACTTCAAAAGGGCATTTAGTGACAAATGCAGAGCTGCCAAATGTTAGGGAAATCAACACAATGCTAACTCGTTACACCAAGAATATGTTGTGATCGTTCCGAATAGTCAAACAAAATCATGAGATTGGTTGCTGCTCCCGAACTTTAGATTTCCATCCGCCCTCTCTGGGCGGGACTCAGGAGGCGAGGAGCACGGTGGGTCCCTCATAACCGATTGGGCAAGGGAGAGCCGCTCATGTAGTGAGCCTTTCTTTCTGCCTAACTGAAACATATTCCTGCGATGTACGTGGGAAGTGTCGATGGTTACTTTATGCAATTCACATTAGTTCTCGTGGCGACTGATTGCACAAGCTGCTATTCACACTTTTGGGTATACTGTATCAGCAGGCTTGTGACATCACGGGCTCAGCGCAGGGCCGTAGCTAGCTCGTCGTTTTTTGCTCGTAAACACAAGCAAAAAAACTTTTTTTTTTACTGTGGTGAATGTCATGGGCCACACATGATACAAGCACTCAACGCAACCAGTTGCTTCTCCGTGTTCCCATATTGCTTCCTAATTGGCTCGTTTTGTTTCACATCACAATCATGGAGTGTGTGACTCAGCCAAACTCGGTGTTGACATAAGTGTATTATGATCTTGAAAGATTGGACGGGTTTGACGACAAAAAATGTCTGCCGTGACTGTGTTCTGAGCACATTGTGCAGGGAGGGGATACACAATCACCTTTTAGTGTATCACGTGTTAAATCCTCAGGACATGCAATAATTCGGCCTTTTGCTGACTTTGTCAACAACTTGTGCAACTTTAAAGACCTTGTATTTTGACGAAAAGGTCTTCTGAATTTGACACATCATAGTGAAGAGGGTTTTTAACAAACTCGCCAAATTGGAATCAACAGGAAAAAAAAATCGCTTGCAGTGTGAAATTGGGCTTTAAAATGTTGCAAAATTGAGATGTCCCTCCCCTCAGCTTTCAGGGCAGCGGGCGGCGAATGTTTGCCACATTGTTTAGAAGGCTTCTCACAAAAAAAAAAAAAAAAAGTGATTGTGTTGCATTTTCAGTGGGAAACAAAAACGATGACCCCAACTCCAAGGTGGTGGAGACTACCGACGCGCAGAAGTTTGCCGAACAAATGGGCATCAACCTGTTTGAGACGAGCGCAAAAGAGAACATCAACGTAGAAGAGGTATAACGCCGTCGGGAATAGGCTGCGGGAACTGGCCCGCTCAGCTCGCCTTTGCTTTTTGCGCAGATGTTCAACTGCATCACGGAGCTGGTGCTGCGCGCCAAGAAGGAGGTGTTGGCCAAGCAGCAGCAGCAGCAACAGAACGACGTGGTCAAACTCACTCGGAACAGTAAACGGAAGAAAAAGTGCTGCTAGCGAACGTCGACGCGCCTCGACCATGAGGAGGAGGGTGGCAGCCGGATGGGACTCACAAAGTCGAAATTCAAGATTTCATAAATATACGCTTAAGATTCAAGACAAAAAAATAAATAAATACGCATCCCCTTTGGACTAAGTAATCACGAAGAAATATATGTACAGATTTTATTATTAACGCCAGATCAAAAGTCATATTTGGAATCGAGCGGAAGGTCCTCCTTTTCTTTAAGGGTCTGCAACGTGACGACTGACTGCCCCAACGCTGCCGTATAGATCCACTTCAACCCGTCGTTGTCATACATGTACCCGTGTCTCATCTTCCTCTTCCTCACACTGCACAGGACATTGATCGCCCGAGGAGAGGGGCCTTTCTTGACCTTCTTTTTTTTTTAAATATATATTCTTTTGGACTGCAGGGGGGGGGGGGCCTTGGGAGACGACGACGGTGAGGGGAACCCGCTTTAGCACAGTTCGCCCGCCAAAAGATCTAAAATGAAATCTGAGCATGTCTGCTTTGTCGTGATGACCGTAAAATCAAATGATGATCGCTTGTCTAATCCATTGGACGGAGCTGCTTTTTTTTTTCTCGCTTTTGCCAAGCTTCCTTCTCAACATCTTTAGTGCTGAGCCAACAACTTGTTTAATTTGACTTCAAAAAAACAAACGAGATTTCGTTTTAAGTGCAGCAGATTGCTCAAGCCAGTGCAGTCTTAATACACTTCCAAGTTTCTCTTTGATTTCTCCCCCCCCCTTTTTTTTTTAAACCGCGGTATAGTAAAGCGGCGGAGGTGTACCTCATTGTTGCCATAGTAACGGCTGGGCGAAAGGTCCAATGGAAAGCACGTTTGAGCATTTATTTAATATCCTACTAGTGCACTGAACGATCCTTGTACTAGTTCGCTATCTGTCGGAAGACAATTTAGCGCTCTTTGTCTGGGCTTCCGCTCGTCAGCGCCTCCTGTTGGTCCTTCGGGGGCTAACGGCGACGTGCGTCCGGGAGTTTCGGTCCCCCCTGCTTGCTGGCTGTCTCACCATCGGGACCTGAAAGGGGGGGGTGGGGGGGGGCGAGTGCTACTTGTGCTTCATCTAAGTTTTTGGGAGACGGACGGAGGTGCAGCCGTCACTTCACATCCATCTGATAAAAATGCTCTCAAACCCCCCACACTTTATCGTTACTACTTCATTAAGTGTATGTATATATAAATATTTGTGTTTATATTCAGCACATCACGGGCACGCGCTTAAACATGACCCGTGCGTGTTCTCTTAGAACGCACTCATCAGCTGTGGTTTGCCGTACACTGGAGAAAAAGAGATGTACTATTCAGTTTGCCCTCGATGAATTTAATCCCTAATAACCATTTGAAAAGGAATAAATATTGGACACGTAACAACTGAGCTCATTTGTCAGTGACTTGTGGCCTGACTTCATTTTCAACATGCGTCTATTTTTGGATTCTGTGAATAAAGTGTGGGAGGAAGTGGACACTGGTCCCTTTTGGGATGATCATTTGGTTCTTGTGTTGGCTGTGCGTGTGTTAACACTCTTTCCATCACTTCAACATCCACTCGAAATAGAATGTTGTGTAAGCATTAGCAATGTTCACACACACACACACACACACACACACACACACACACACACACACACACACACACACACACAGTGCAAACCTAAAACATGACCACTCTGCTCTTTAATCACACCCACCAAGCATTTCCATTATGAAGAATCCTGGAATGCTTGGAGCATCAATTTAGAATAATTCCCTCCATTAAAAAGACATGATTTATTGTTTAAAAAAAAATGGAAAATAGGTTTTAAAATGAATCAGTAGAGCAATTATAACACAATCATGAATATTTGTTAAAATGAGACAGATTTACCATTTTATGAACCCATATTACATGAAATACACTTGGGAAAATATTTTCATAGACCATTTATTTAAAAATAATTTAAAATACTGTTTTATTTTTACTGTGTCTCATCAAATAACTGACCTAATTTCAAAACCACAAAACTCAAAAAGTAACATCAACCATCGAAAATTAAATCTTATGAAATAATTGGTCAATTATAAAATAAAATTTCTAATTTCAAGGTTAACCATTTTACAAAATTCAATACCAAAACAATTGTTTTATTAAATTAGTTGATTCAATTAATTTAAAACTGTTATTTTTATTCATTTCGTTAATTCAATAGTTGCTGTTTTTTGGTAATAAAAAGTGGCCATTAAAACAAACATTTTATTACATAATTTTATAATGTAGCAGAAATTACTCAAATAACTTATTTACATTAGTTTTGGTTTGTTACTACAATTAATGTTTGCCCAGCCCTCTTTTCGGCTCTTCATCGTATATGTAACTAATTGCTCTTGGAATGCGGGGAAGCAAGCAAACTAAAATTTGAACTGGTAACCTCTTGAGTGTGAAGCAGTCTTGTGATCCATGAGCCAGTTTCAGTATTGCTGTTTGAAATTCATTTGTCAATTTAGCCTATTTTTCTGACCAGGGTGCCATCTCCATGTTCACGTGACATGTGACATTGTTAAATAGGCACGGACATGGATGTCCTTTATCATGGGCTCCTGTGATTGGATGGCGACCAATCCAGGGTGTACCCAACCCGTTGCTTAAAGTCATCAGGGAGATGCTCTGGTGATAAGGGCGAGCGGTATTGAAAACGAATGGCTTATGGTGGGCTCCGTTTTTTTCACGCCGATGTCGATTTGTCGTTCTGTGATGTTTTCTTGTAAGCAAGGGTGCCCAACCAGTTGATCACGGTCCACTGGCAGCCCACAAATTGGTCCCAAGCCGATCTCGGGAGTCAAGGGGGAAATTGATTAAAAAAAAAAAAGTGTGTTTGTGTGTGTGTGTGTGTGTGTGTGTGTGTGTGTGTGTGTGTGTGTGTGCGTGCGCGCGCGCGCATGCGTGCACCTGCGGTAGCGGGTCGTGGGAGGTCGGTTGCTTGAAAAGTCGATCTTCGGTCAAAAAAGGTTGTGCACCCCCGATGTCGAGACTGTCTCCACTAAAGAAAAAAATCAGTGGTTCACACAATGCGTTTAAGCAGATGGTTATGTGTTGATGAGAGAAACACAATTCTCCGAAAAGTGAATGAGAAATATTTGGAATAGTTGGAAGTGTTTGCTAAGTGAAACCAATGCGGTTAGTGGGTACTGAAAGGAAATTGTCACACAGAGCACAATCGGCCCACCAAAAACACCAAGTAGACACACAGGCAGTAGAAAACAAAACTCAATGGTACGCCTGTGTCATACTCACAATTACCCGCTTGGTTACTCATCACACAAAACAGTCCGGAAACAAGTTTTGAACATTATATAAATGATTTCAATTGGAAAATGACGCAAACATTCCCCCAGTGTTGGAAAAAACAAAAACACACGTGAATCAAATGTCATGGAGTGCTCGGAAACAGATGACAAGAGTGACTGGCATTTATTCTTTGAACATTTCACATGTTCATTGTGTTGTAACATACATGCCCATCAACAACAGTGTATTTTTTTAAATTTTTTTAATAAGGCACTCTCAAAGAGTCATCATGAATGGCTTTATCAATGTAAAGAGAGCAGACAGAAACCAGAATTCCATCAGGAGGATGCTACCATTGTCATTCTCGACCACTAACATGACATCACACCGTGAACATAGCATACGCAAACTACTATTTAAAGAAAGAGGACGCAAAAAAAGAAAATGGAAAAAAAAACAATGCAAGATGATTGTAGCGCAAATTATAGACATTCAATTTTGAGCCTGTGTGCTTTGTGGTTTCATCATTCACGACCACGCCGATGATCTCTCTTTTATTCGCCAGCAAGCATGCACACAGGTGTGGCCCCGGAGCACTTTGACGTCAGTGCCCAAGATGACTCAAGAAAGTCAACAAGCAGCTTTTGTTAGCAGAGCAAGAAGTCATGGCCTAGCCAAAGCAGTCAGCTTCTTCAAATACAACTGGCTTCAACAAACGCAAGAACACTGGTCAGCATTGTTTTTTTAAATCCGATATAGAGGTGTACTTGTCCAAGTGATTTTTATAAATTTTTTGCACCGATTCTGAATCTTCCCTCATTTTTTCTCGAGCACATCCTGTTTTCATAATAATAATAATAAAAATAATGTAATTTAGTAATATTTATGAATGAAAGGTCAGATTCAGCAACAGAGGGAATTTCTTTATGAAACATCATATCTACAAATTACGATGGATGGTCAAATTTGTATAGTGCAAGCTTTTATAGGTCAAACTTCAAAACACAAAAATGAAAATGAAAATATCTCAAAAACATGATGTGCTTCAAAAAAAAAAAAAGTTAAGATTTTTTTTTGTTTTTTTTTTAAATCAGCGTCAAAAATACATTTTGGGACCGTTTAAAATTTGCTGTTGACCAATATAATCAATCTTGAAATGGAAAGAACATTTCTAAGAGTTGTTGACACGACACCGTTAATATCTTTTTCCTTTTGAACAAACGATGACTGGCGGCCAGCTGAGAGCGACTAAAATGATTGAGATCATTTGGATTTGTATTCAAATATGAAATGATTATGGGGCCACATACAACGTAGGTGGACTACAGTTCCTCTTGCCGCACCTCAGCAGTCCCTAAAATATACACAGCACTAAGAAAACACATTAAAAAAAAAAAAAAACCTGGTTTATAGCTGCAACATTTTTTTTAATTGAAAAGATATGGATTTTTTTTTCTTTATAAATATTCACTTCATCCAGACCTAATCAGCCTTGTTTTATATCATGTGTTTATATGTATATATAAATCCGTCTTTGGGTTTCTCCTTTCAAACAACCGGCTGAGATGACATCTCTGCATAGGTTTTGCACAAGCTGCATAAGCTAAACACGCTCACACGTACATCTGCACACATACGGACAAAGAGGAGCCATCACGGTAGCGCACATTCATCCACATCCCCGCGCGTCACCTCAACGGAAGCCCGACAGCTTAGTCAGAACTCAAAGTGCTCATGAAGTATTGAAGCAGAGAGGATGGAGGTAGACTTTGCCCCGTCCCCCCCCCTAAAAAAAATATAGTAGTGTCTACCAAGCATCTTTTTCAAGTCGGCGCATCATCTCATGAGATGAGCTGCAACATTTTTTTTGTCCTTCTCACACTCATGTAAACATTGGAAGAATTTGGTTACCTAGAAAAAATATTTCAAATAATTCGAGGAGTGTGTCTTTCTCATCGACACGTAAATGATGCATGCATCAGGGATGTGAAACTCGCAGGTTTATTCAAATGTCGGAGGTCAACATGAAGGCTTCCCTTCCAGCTCTGGCAATGATTACCTCCGCCAGGGAAGCACTGTTCTAGCTTCAGCGTATTTGTCTTGACACAAATCTTGAGCCTTCATGGCAAGTCTTTGCTGGACTTTTGTCAGTGTGAATTTCTTTTGTGAGCACATTCGGTTAAGCGAGAACAGAAAATGACAATGTGCAAGAGTGCGAATGAGAAAAATCATTTGTGGAGCTCCCCATGGCGGTGATTCTCAACCAGGGTGTCGTGAGAGATTATCGGGTGTACCGCGGGAAATTACCCAATTTCATTTTCACAAAAATGATCATTGACTAGAAATAGCTGTTCTTTTTTTCACTGATGCCAGTGATGTATAGTGATAGGCAGAGAATTAATTTCTCTGCCACCACATGGCCGAAGGTACACGTAAACCAGGAATGGGCAACTGTCGGCCCACGCCAACACCCGGCGTGGCCCTCGATTAATTTTTTTGAAAATGAAAATGGAGTTGAGCAGTTTTAAGTTGGAATAAGAATATTCACCACTGGATGGCAGAAGTCACTCAAAAGTGCCTCCCACACCAAGACTGTGCTTCTTCAATAGAGAAGAAGAGCAAGCAGTTCTGGCCAGGACCAAATTAGCTCAAGGCAATGATGTCTTTTGGGTAAAATAGGAATCAGATTTACATACCTGTCAACTTTTCGGAGCGCCAACCTGTATAAACTACCAAAAAAATCCTTATAAAGAGCAAAAAATCCTTATAACATACCAAAGCATTTTATATGTCAAAATAACGGCAGAAAAAAAACCACGAAATATGAATGAAATATTTGTTTCCTTGTAGAATTTGCTTGTACACTACCGAAGTATGCAATGAATACTCTGCTGTTTTCAACTAAGAACCACGTGATTTACTGGAAAGTTACCGGAAATGAAAGCATTCGAGTAGACTAGCACCATTCTGGGCAAAAGCAAACGGAACTACCTGTTAGGGGGGGAAAAAAAAAAAAAAAAAACGGAAATTTTCAGAATCCGTATGATTTGTGCATACCTGTCAACTTTTCGGAGCGCCAACCTGTATAAACTACCAAAAAAATCCTTATAAAGAGCAAAAAATCCTTATAACATACCAAAGCATTTTATATGTCAAAATAACGGCAGAAAAAAAACCACGAAATATGAATGAAATATTTGTTTCCTTGTAGAATTTGCTTGTACACTACCGAAGTATGCAATGAATACTCTGCTGTTTTCAACTAAGAACCACGTGATTTACTGGAAAGTTACCGGAAATGAAAGCATTCGAGTAGAGTAGCACCATTCTGGGCAAAAGCAAACGGAACTACCTGTTAGGGGGGGAAAAAAAAAAAAAAAAACGGAAATTTTCAGAATCCGTATGATTTGTGCGATATGGGCATATACGTAAGATTCACCACAAAATCGTTATGAACTATGGCTAAACCGTATGAGTTGACAGGTATGGATTTATATGTTTGAAAGAATTTAAATGCAAACCCGTCCAACGAGTTTACTTAGAGACGTTATCAGCCATGAAAGATTGCGACCCAAGTTGCCACTGCAATACTGAGCTCAAAAGTACACACGCAGCAATTTTGTTACCCCACAAGAACCGTTGACAGTTCGTTGGAAGTGCATGAGGAGTTACTCAATGTGTGTACTCTAAATTGATGGATATAGACATCCAGCGCTTAATGGCGTTACAAATGCATATGGTGGCTTTTTTTGACATGTGGCTGTTGTGACGGGTGGCGCACCTGCGATGCAAAAGGGTTGATTGGGGACAACTTTGACTTCCTCTGACTGCACTGTGTTTACACTGGTGATTGAGCTTGCCCGTTCATTTGGAGAGACATGCACCTTGTAATACAATGACACAAAATGAGTTCTCGCACGTCATGTTGGTTTGCCGGTCAATGGTTTTGTGCCATCTATGAATGGACATTTTTATGCAAGAAGGGGGAAAAAAAATTGTTGTTTGTGTTTCAAGCCTTTGTAGTTGAGAAGGGGTTCTTTTAAATGCATTTGAGCTTTCAAATATCAATAAAACACAGACATATACAAAAACTTTGTTCTGATTCAAAATGGCATTTTTGCGTGGTCCTTCCTATGTGGTCCCCCAGTAACATGATGAACAATTGTGCCCCCCACACCCCCCCACCATCTAAGTTGCCCATCCCTGACTTCAACTGTGTGTCCACCTGTTGGCATTCATACAGTATCAGGATGGTTTTGTGTCCAATTAAGCAGGCCTGACTTCACGCTCAGCAAGTAAACTGAGATGAGGTCATCATGACATTATACCTGTACAGTGAACCCCCACGTCTGACGCGAATATCTGTGAAGTCATTGATGGCCACCCCAAAATGTTTGTCATTGCCTTGATATACCCCAAGAGATAACTTCATTTTTATTAGAAAAGGCGAGCCTGAAAATGAAGTGGCTCTCCTCACTTCAGTGTACTTGCTTGGCTCCAAAATGCCACAAGATGGCGCCAAAGCAATTTCTTTCTTTCTTTCTGTTTTTCTTTCTTTCTTTCTACACAAGACATGGTGTTGGAATAAATGTAATTCTGCAAGAAAGACAACTATGCCTGCCTCCTGAGTCTTCCTGTTCCTGATGTGTTCTTAGCATCAGATTACCAGCATTAACCTAACACATGGCTTTCACTTTCCAGCAAATACCAGGATAGTTTCCTCCCCAAAAATCCCCGAATAGGTGAATTTGTGATTGCCGAACCGCAAATACGCCGGGGTCACGGTATCTACTTTTGGTATATTTTTTTCTTGGTGGCATGTTGTGATATTTTTCGGGTGTATTTTGACATCTCCCAAAGAAACGAATAAACTCCGAAAGCAATCAAGTAAGAGTCGAGTGCTATTACGCGAGCATCACCTTGGTCCAGCTGCTGCGCTACGCCAAAAGTTTTGTGTCCTACGCCTGACTCGAGGCTGGGATGCAAAAAGTGAGCATTGGTGCAGCATTAAGTTTCTAACAGGCTTGGCAGTGGGAAGAAGTGATGGCTCAGAGGCACTACAAGGAAAGCTTCCTCAGTAGAAGTAAACGTTTGGACCCTGATCATGTCCTACGAGTTGCCTTTTAGCAGAAGATCTACTGTATGTGGTATTGTGAGCCAATCCGAATTGGACAAGGAGCACTGGGAAAGATAAAGTGCAAAGTACAAGCCGAGCCCCCCGAACCTCAGTTTACGCCAAACCATTTCAACATTTAGTCCATATCCTCTTGAGGACCATGTACTCATATGGTCTTTGTCTTCACTAGTGGGACAACTTTGGCATACTAGTCGGTCAACAAATGCTTGTGGTATGACAAAACTCCACACTGGTTAACAACTGCGTGCCGCATGTCACTACTGAATTGTGACAGTATCAAATTTGACTCGGGACCGCCTAGCGTGTCACGAATAGCACTAGTGGTACGCATCTACAACTAGTGCACATTTATGCCTCATTTGTGATATGCGGTATACGGTTGCGGAAGGCAGCAGTGGGGAGAAAAAAACAAAACGCTACTCGTATGCCACAGTACATGGACATCAAAGACATGGAATAAATGCTCAAATATCTTTCGATGTGTGTGTGTGTGTGTGTGTGTGTGTGTGTGTGTGTGTGTGTGTGTGTGTGTGTGTGTGTGTGTGTGTGTGTGTGTTTCGTTGCCCGTCTTTGGCTACGCCGTGTCCACCTATGCTGTGCTGTCGCCCTTTTTCTCCACACTTTCAGGCATCGCGTCCGTCTCCTGTGCTCAGTTCTTTTTGAAAAAAGAGAAAAGTTTTCGGTCCCGGTCGGACAGGCGTAGCGCTCGTCTGGAGGACTGAGCGCCGAGAGCCCTGGACGACCTGGATGCGCAGGATGGGGTGGAGCGCCACTCGTCCTGGTGCTTGTCCATTAACTGCTGGTCAATCACTCTGTGCATGTCGTCCTGCGGTGAGGCACAGAAAGCTCTCATCACTGTCCTGAGTTCAACTTTTCTTTCTGTACATTACTGTACTCCCAAACAGTGACCTTGACAGGTCAATTTCATTTGACCTTCTCTAAACATTTGCATGCACATGTCCAACTGTTTCATCATAAGGAGCAGGAAGGCACAATTCACAAATGGCCAACCAATACTTTTCCGAGTCCAATTAGAATTAAAGAATTAAATCGAGACGTTAGTCTTAATTTTTTTCCATGTACTGTATTTACCACACTGTAAAGCGCTTCGGAGTATAAGGCACACCTTCAACGAATGGCCAATTTGAAAACTGTTTTCATATATAGGGCGCAGATGCATAGAATAGAAGCTACAAAATGGCTGCAGTTATGTTATGCCTCCACTAGATGGAGCTACGCTAAAGTGACTACAATACAATATAGCTTTGTTTATATAGCGCTTTCACAACCGCTGCAGCTGTAATAAAGCGCTTTGTAGAACATTTAAAATACTGCATCCAAGAAATCAGAATACTGATCCATATACAGAGCGCATTGGATAATAGGTCTTGTTTTGAGAAAATGGAATGCTCTCAAAATTAAACAACACTTCAAGTGACCCCGTGTTGGCTCTTCTACCTGCTGTTCTTTACCTTGCTCGTAGCCCACATTGTTACATATTGTCTCATTTAGAGCAGCTGTCCCCAATCTTTTTTGCCCCACGGACCGGTTTAATGTCAGACAATATTTTCAGGGACCAGCCTTTAAAGTGTGACGCATAAATACAACAATATAACCTGCATGAAAACAGTGGTGTTTTCGAAACATAATAATAAACCCGAATCACGACACAAGGAACATCCTATCTGGCCGCAACACTCTCTGGTCAATATGGTAACGTTTAAACGTGCCTTTAAAATAAGATACGCCGCAAATGCCAAGTGCATGAAAAACCATTGCCACATATTATGCAGGGTAGGCTTGGTGCGTGGGAATCTTCCGTTGAGATAAATCAGTATCTTAAGTAGGACTCCTGATACTGTCTATTAAATGTAGCTTTCTTATTCTTGAAAGTCCATAGGCTCCTCTTCTGTCTCCTGGCTGAGCCTTTTCCCTTTCCCAAAGAAACTTTTCAAAGACGTTTGTTTTCTTGCTCAGTTTGCAGGCTCCTGGGTTTCATTTTAGCGGTAACCTATCACGTGACCGAGAAGTGCACCTTAACCTGCGTCAAGAGTGACAAACTGTAAACGGATGTAAAAGGGGATCCGGTAATTTTCTAAATAAAACATCTTTCAGATTCCGAAATAAATAAAACGTAAGTAAGGTAAGTTACTTATTCTTTCTTTGCGGTCCGGTGCCAAATGACCCACGGACCGGTGCTGGTCCGTGGCCCGGGGGTTGGGGACCGCTGATTTAGAACTCCGAATTTGCCTATCTTGAAAAAGGTGTACCGTATTTTCACGACCATTCGGCGCACCGTATTGTTGGGCGCAGTCTCAGTAACGGGTGCTATTTCTGTATTTGACACACACAAAACGCACTGTATTATTGGGCGCAGCCAGGCATGGTAAAACATATGCCCACTTAAACACACGGCATGCATGCACGCACGCTAAAAACACGTTAGCTTGAAGCATTCGGGAGCATGCATTCACGCTAAAACATACCAGGTATGTTAGCTTAAAGCATACGGTAGCAGCTAAGACATACGGACACACGCTAAAAACACGTTTTTAAAAAGGCAACGGAAGCAAAACTGAGTTCGGTTGTACTTTATTTATCCATTTTACTATGTGCTCACGCGACTGGTACCTGCTAGGGGTGTGCCTTTAGCGTCCTCTTACGCGCCTACCCTTCACTGATTGGCGACTGGTACCTGCTAGGGGCGTGCCTTTAGCGTCCTCTTACACGCCCACCCTTCACTCATTGGCGACTGGTACCTGCTCGGGACGTGCCTTTAGCGCCCTCTTACACGCCCACCCTTCACTCATTGGCCGACTTCCGCATGCCTGTCGTCACTCGCGTCCACCTTTTCTCTATATAAACAGCGTGTCGGCCAGAGGTGCTCTTAGTCAGGCTTTGGAACTCGGCGCATACATAACACGCACCGCATTATAAGGCGTCCTGTCCATTTTGGAGAAAATTTAAGACTTTTAATGGCGCCTTATAGTTGTGAAAATACGGTACCTCGATTAGGGTGATCCAGTCCACTGTTGCTTTGAAAAAAAAACCCCAGCATAAAAGTAAAATGGATTACCTGATCTGGGATCGCAAAAATTGGGGTTTCTAGATGCGGATCATTTTGATCCAGGCTACATTTTTTGAACAGCTGGCTCCCAATGTGATAACCCCCTGTTGTCAAGGTTGCTGGTATACTAACAGTGGAGACAGGTGAACACAGAATGATGGGTGAGTCCTCGCTGACAGTCAATAGCTTCAGCTGAGATGTGCGTTTTTCCCATGGCGTGGAATGGCTCAGCGTGGCATGAAAGGGTTTGTGCAGAGTGGAATGATGGGACGGTGCAGGTCGGCTCACCTCTAAGGCAGGAGGGGTGTAGGGGGAGGGGTTGTACCACAGGGTGAGAGAGGGTGGTACGGAGGCTGAGAAAGGCCACTAGATCAGAAACCACAAGAGCCAAACTGTAAAGAGCCCTGAGGATGCAAACTGCGGGCAGGGAGAAGAGAGAGGAAAGAGCCGCTAGTTACAGGGGAGGACAGAGGGGGAAGGGACGAAACCAGTGTGACCACGGCCACGTCAAGAAAAAAAAAAGGTGTGCTTCTTAAGCAGGGTACACACATACGGGTACTAATAATTTCAGAATTTTCTCTCCTGGTCAAAGTCAGCAAAGCCTTTTATTTTGTCTTCTACTAGTATTCTACTCTTTGTTTTTCCTTGTATTTTTCGGCAACGACTGCCACTCGGAGTATTGGTTCTGTGACAGATGGCTCGTTTGTTGTGTGCAATTCTCGATGGTGATCTCATTATTTGTGCGGTGTTGCACATCTTGAGTAGACTACACGACACACAATCAAAGCAGTAAACACACACTGAGGGATTATTTTAATTGTGAGGTGTGGGTTCGCACACAAAAATCAACACGTGTGTACCCATCTTAAGTGAGTGATTTTCTGTGTGTTTCTCACCATATTTGTGCCACAGAGCGAGACAAGTGACGTGGTCTTAAAGGGAGGTGCGGAGGTGATGAAACAAGGTTTTAACTGAAACATCTCTATCGAGACAACTCACCTGCCAAGCCTCCAGCTGCTGTGACAGATTGAGCTTCTGCTGGATGGCATCCAGAAGCTGACTGTTTAGAGACATGATGTCTATTTTACACTTGGCCAGCTCCATCTCCACTGCCTTCTTCCTGGAAGACACACATACAACACACAGTGACAAGATGACAATGGTGTCCTACAAGCATGAACGCCTCACACAAAGAGAGAAAAGGGTTTTGACTAACTGTAGATACTTATTTTCTTGCAGGGTGACATACTGAAAATGTCACTAATTAATTAGTAATAATCAAGCCGCACATATTTAATGAATGAAGCCTTTCTTAAAGTACAAATAATAAGCATCAAATGATAAATAAAATCCCAGTGGTGTCCCTACTTGGCTATGGCATCATCTCTGTCTTTAATGGCACTTTGAAGCTGCTCGCTGGGTTCTCGGACCTCTGCCATGGACCTCATCCGCTCAGACTCCTCTTGGAGGGAACACATTTCTACTGAGAGCAGCGCCATCTGTAGGTTTGATAGGGAAGTTACATGAACATCAGTGCAGTGGAGCTAACTCTAGTTTTATGGACAATGTTTTCATGATATTGTCACATAGTCTGTCAAATCCATGTGGCATGTACATGTCAATGTTTAAACACCCCAACCATTCACATGTGCACGTGCTTATGTACTGTACATGCTGTACAGCAGGGGTGTCAAACTCATTTCACATTGTGGGCCGCATACGGCCTCGGTAGATGTCAAGTGGGGCGGACCATTAAAATAATGCCATACTCTGCTATAAATAACCAAAATATCATGTCTTTCCTTTGTTTTGGTATAGTGAAGCATGAGAAAATTCGGAAAATGTTGAAATTTAATGAACATATCTTTTACAAAACTTTTCGTGAAACACCTTGGATTTCATTAGACAAACGTGCAATTTACTTTGATCATTCACATATATGCATTGCAACTGATCCCACTGATTGTACAAAGGCACAACATTTTAACAATTGGCATTGAAAAATATAGTAATGCATTTTAAGATTTAACGAAATTTACAAAGAAAGGAATTTTTAAACCATTTACACATGTGCATATAAAATCTAAATTTAATCCCTGCCAACATTTTACAAACTAAAGAGAAAACAGTGTGCCCCTAGCGGATAATCCATGAATTTCATTTTACAGGTATTAAAAATATTCATTGTTTTTTATGCTTTTTTTTTTCACTTTTAAATTATCCTGCGGGCCTGACAGGCATATGTAGTGGGCTCACAAAAAGTCTCTTACAATACTGAATGTAAATCAGGTTTGTTCCAGAGGAGGTACTCAGTATTGTCCAAGTTTTTAATCACACGATATTTGTGTGTTTCAGGTGCCCTGCTGATGAAATGAATAAACCCTTTAAAATGATTCGTCCTCCAGAAAGGGCACAATGTGTATCGAGGTTTATTGAAACAAAAATGTGTTACGCAGACTGACTTGACACTGCAGCATTGTGGTAGAAGATGTCGAAAGTAACGTCTGTTAATTTGTGCATGGTGAAAGATATTTAAGGAGTTAGAGACAGTGTTGTATAAGCAAAAATAAATATCTACTCTTTAATTTACAATAATTTCACTGATTTGTATATTTGTTTGTTTTGTAATAAGTCTGTAAAACTCTGAAGAGACTATAGATAATTGCGCACGTGTACAAGACTGTACACACCTTTCAATGAATGTGCACATGTATATTGCTAGCTTTATCCATTCTAAAATGAGCGTTTATGAAATGATCATGAAATGTTCATGAAGCATCGTCTTCATGCTCATTTGTTAATTTGCCAGCTACTTGGTGGTTTTGCATATCTTACAGGCAATTTTTTAGATTTTTTTTTTAATTGCCTTTATTGTCATTACACGTTCGTGCAACGAGATTTCAATTGGTGCCATTATGATTCCACTACAATTCCTTCATACCATATCTGGAACGAACTTTATAAAATCCTTATGAGCTATTTCAAAATGTGAAAAATGTAATTCAATCAACATGTTTGCACAGTATTGTACATAATTGTGCACAAGTAATGGAACTGACTTTCAACACGTACCTGATTGTGCATCCGTAGCAACTCCTCTTTACTGTTGTGCGTCTTGTCCTGCTCAGCTGCGTACAGCTCTTTGACTTCTCTCAGCTCTTCTCCCATCTTCTTTACTTGTTCCTCCAGAGCTTCCTCGTCACTGCGTCGAGAACCCTTTCGACAGTAAACACATGAAAGAAATTATGCGGTCATATATTATAATGTACCCTACAAGGCTAATTACTGGACTTTAACAATGCCAAGATTGAGGATCCAAAGTGGATCTTTCTATTGGGTCACAAATTGGAAGAATATGATGCTACAATCCATTTTAAACATTGTCTATCAGAAAGAGAAAAAAAATCTTAGGAAACGCTTTTGTTGTTGCTGTGAATGAAGTCTGTCATGGCCCATATGAATAATTTCGAGAATGCAGTAATCCCTCATTCATCGCGGGGGTTACGTTCCAAAAAGAACCTGTGATAAGTGAAATCTGTGAAATAGTCATCTTTATTTTTTACAATTTTTACATTTACAATCCTGTCCTGAATGAAACCAAAGATGAAACCTTTTTTCAAGCCCAAGCATTAAAAAAAAAAAGAAAAAAGAAAAATCTAAACATTTTCTTACAAACAACTGACAGTTTTTAGAAATACTGTACAGAAGGTTTCGACGACATTGTGTGTTTATGTCATGGAAAAATTTGGCAAGCTGTACAAGGCGAGGCGACTGAGACTGTTGACATTAGCCGACAGTCCCTTAGCCAATCGGGATGCAGAACACCGTCCAGTGTAAAAAGAAAAAAATAAATCTTCACAAAAAAAAAAATAATAATTCCGTGAAACAGTGAAGCCGTGAAAGATGAACCATGTTATAGCGAAGGATTACTGTATGTCAATATTTCTAAGATGTAAAGCACAATGTGTCAAAAAAGTACAAATGTAGTACAGTGAAGGATACAACAACTTAAGTTGCCAACAGTACAACAATGTGCCCCCCCCCCCCAAACTTTACGATCCATTTATCCACATGAAGTTCGCTTGCAAATTGGAGCTGACTTTCAGTTGACTTTCGACAAGAAGCAAAATCTACTCCCCCCCATATACTGTATGAAATTGGAAAACTATTGGTAAACTCTCCGTTGGTACCGTTGACTCGTTGCCATCAAGCAGGTTCTGTGTTAGTCTGCGGAGTTCTAGCAGGCTAGCATGAAGGCTCCCAGTGGGCACATCCTTGGCGGACGACGTCTCCGAGGACTCGTCCATGGAAGAGTCCGTGGACAGCGCAGAGTCTGTGACATCATTCCCTCGGAGATGGGAGCACAGCGAGCGCACGTCACAATAGGCTTCCCACAGCTGAAGACGCAGCTACGGATGGAGATACAAATAGCCAAAAGAAGAATTTGACGGCGTGCGTGGCTTGTGGCTGACATCCGGGGGTCGGTTTACCTGCTCTCTCTCCTGCTCCTGCTCCTCTTGCTCCATGCTTTGCTCGATCTCACACATCAGGCTGGACTGGTGGGGGGTGAGGCTCTGCAGGCTGGTCTCCTCCGTCAGCTCCTCGAGTCGAGCTGTTAGGTGCCTGTAGGACATCTGAACTTCCTGAAGCTCCACCTGATTCTGCCGCAACTGAACATAACATAACCACAAATAGGCATTAAAAGCTTTGAGAAAAAGGATCTCTCCTAACCCTCCGCAGACACTATTCTGCCCCCTAGTCTGCTTCCATCCATTGTCTATTGCACTGGTTAGGTGCGTATGTGGACAAAAGACCACCCAATAAATCCAAATGGCATGTTTCCCATCAGTTGCGATGGAAATAAACTATCAGAGAGTAAAACCATGGCATATCGCAATTAATTTAAATAGAGTGACAGAAGTCTTGCAAGATTTACTGCTGTTCAACATGACATCAAATTTTTGATGACTGAGAAGCAGTTTTCTTTCTTTCTTTCTGTAAATCATTCCAAACATGTCGCCAGCCACTTAAACAAAAAAGTATAACCAACATAGGTGCGCACAATTTTTGCGACCTTTCGAAGGTTCCAATGTATGAACACAAAGTCTCAAGTTTTGTACCTGCAGGTCCTTCTCGTGGCACTGCGTCTCCAGCACCAGCGTCCTGTCTCTGAGGTCTTCCACAGTATTCTTGAGCACTTCGTTCTCCTCCAGCATGGCATGCACCCGCCGCTCCAGCTCCATCTTCCTCTCCGACAGCATCTTAATCTAACATGTGCGGCATCAGTGATTAGAAATGACACCCCGTTAAAAAGGATTATGGGTACAAGATGAGGACTGTCTTGATTTTCTGGTCAGCGGCAGACAAAAAGGGAAGTCCATAGACTTGATTAAAGACTAAAAAAAAGGATTATGGGTACAAGATGAGGACTGTCTTGATTTTCTGGTCAGCGGCAGACAAAAAGGGAAGTCCATAGACTTGATTAAAGACTAAATATTGCGCTGTGCCTTCTCCAGCCAAACTGGGCTCTTACACGAGATTAAAAAGTACTCCCACTGGTCTGAAGAATGCCTGTTGCCTAGCACAGGCGTAGGCGGTAGTAGCCACCCTCGTCTTAGGAATGTCTTGGTGATACGGTAGCGCCTACACAAAGCTTAATATCAGCTTAGTCAGCAAGGGATGACCTTCAACTTCCCCTCAACATATTCTTCACAGTGGGACTTGGATTGTTTTTTTTTTTTTGCCGGAGTAGAGACACACATTAAATGAACAACACAAAGCGATCATTTTATGCCCTCTGGATTTGACCTACATCTGATAACCTACTTTACACTACACTGCAGCAACTTGCACATCAATACACGCAATGTTCTGGACATTTAAGCCCACAGTCGTCTTTTTTCTCACACTAATCAAACGGCAGGAGTCAGCATCGGCATGTGAAAACAAAGTCTATGAAAAGTGGAAGCACCCAGACATTGCAGCACCTGAGCTAAAAATAGAACACACTCTTTCTCCCAATTATAGTGCAGTCAGGGTATTTTCCCTGCTGTCACATAACAGACAGACAGACAAAGAAAGAGAAAGAGAGAAAGGACAGAAAGAAAAAAGGAAGAAAGGGAAGACAAAGGAAATCTTTAAGTTACTACTTTTACTGTGATATCAACAATGGTTTATTGCGGCTGCAATCAAATATCAGCAGCCGCAGGGGTTGGCATCAAGATAAGAAACTGGTATTTCCATGACTGACGACACAACACATCTTATGTGCCTCTTTGTGGTTTTTGTTTTTTTATGCTTGGCCTCTGGAAGCAGGGGTTGGCATCAAGATAAGAAACTGGTATTTCATGCAACTCGGGTAGAAATTCATCTTTGGGTTTTTTTTCCCCCCTGTTGCATCATTTCAACTCTAATTCAAACCTTTCCATAACCCTTGTTTGTGTACTTTCAAGGAAGCTACATGCAGCATGCAGTAAGGCCAGACAACACCTGTTAACCACTCACTTCGAGTCCTTGCTGCTCCAATCAGGAAGGAGGGAAGAAGTTTGAGCAAAGTACAAAGAGAGAGAGCAAATGATGAGAATACCCGGACATTAGTTGTTGTCAACTTTTTTTTAAATGCAATAAAATGACATAAGTGACAGCCAATCTCTGACACAGTAAGAAAATGTGTTTCCGTTTGGTGACATTTTCTTCATTAAAATTACCTGAAACAAATTGTCATCCCCCAGTCCCTCACCAAAAAAAAAAATCTGGAACTTTACTTTGTGGTGTGTTCAATGACTCCAACAGCAAATTTGACTTATCTAATCAATGACATAGCAATCCAATCGTACTTATAAAACAGGCTCGCCATACTTGGTCAGAGCTACAAGTTAGAAAGTAGACTAGATGTATACATAGTGTTATAGGTGTGGTGGAATGGATGAGGTTCCACTTCTAAATTCAAAGTTGCTTGAGGAGGAACGTGGTATTTCAATTGTGAAACAGTCACCTTTCACGGTTTTCATGTTATTGTAGCAGAAATTACAAAAGTGAATAAAATGTTTTGTTAGCATAGATGGAGCGAGTACAACCGTGCCTAAGCATAATTTTGATCAAGCTTCTGCGCTGATAACGACTTACTTCAGCTTGTAGTGTTTCTAGTCGTGTCATGTGCTGGCTCGTAGATGTACTCTTCTCCCTGAAGTCGTCCCGTAATGAATGGACCTGAGTGGATAGCTGCCTCTCCACCTCTGCAGCCTGAACAGACGGAGACAAGGTTAGATTGGAGTGAGAGGAAAAACTAGCAAGAATTAAAATAATCACAGAGGCGGACGCAGGCACGCGGTGGGCATGTCCTCAGTGCACATAGTAGAGGAGGATCAACAACAACCTGAGTTGCTCACCTTGACGGGAAATTCAGCCGCGCTGTTTATACTGTGTGTCAATCCTCCCACCCAAACCTGTTCCTGTAAATGTGAAAACAACCATTCCTACCACAGCAATATTTCTCAAAATGTCATGGTCTTCTTCCAGAATCTCTCAATACAGTAGTTTCCTGCTTAAGTAGCTGCGCTATCAAATGCCAAAGCACCCTTGCACGCATCAGCAAACTTGATGGGATCAAGGCCCCATGACACCTGACTGTGCTTTATTAGCATAACCTTGTACTCAGGAAGCTGCCAATTATGCGATGATCACTGGCATACAGACGGCAGCAGCTTTAAAATCGCTCACTTAATACGGCTTCCAAAAAAATAAAAAATAAAATCCAAACAAGTACATGCAAGGTTAAGGTCTGAGTTGTACGCAAGAATACATTTTAATCAACAATACCTTAATTGGCCGGTATGGGAAATCTTAAAAGAAAAAAATATTCTGCATTTTATTTTCACAATTTAAAACAGTTGCTTTCTGTCTTGACAATGGCTGGGGGTGTGAGTCTATCTCCAGCTAATGCAATGTACTGCTTTCCTTACTGTGACCAACATGGGAAAAGCTGGGGATTTTTCCACATAGTGAGGGTGCATCAGTCTTAGCTTCTTTGTCGCTATACAGTAATCCCTCGTTTATCGCGGTTAATGGGGACCAAAACCACCCGAGATAAACGAAAATCCGCGAAATCCCAGGCTTGCAGCAGACTGTTTATGATTAGTCAGTTAAGGATGATTAGACAATTAAGGATGGAAGAGACTTGCTTTTGTTCTTATAAGTCTCCTATCTCTCTCTCTCTCTCTCTCTCTCTCTCTCTCTCACACACACACACACTCGCAGCATCGTAAACAA